TGATGACAAAACCTAGTCGAAACGTTGTACGTTTGCTGTTATGTTAAACTTATATTAAAGTTTTTCTTCATTACCCATTCAAGCCGTCTCCAGCCATTATTAGTCTCAAGGTGGGTTCCTCGTCACCGAACATGGTTGCTAAGTTTTTTAATCCTGACAAAACTGACTAGGGTAAACTTTTCTATAATTAATAATGACATATTGTGTAACTGAGCAAAGATCAACAGGTTGTTTGCTCAAAATGCTTATATTTGGGAGTGAATTCTTGCTCTCTGTTAATGTGATGTACGGTTCTCCCCCTAGAGCAGATGTCCAACAAAGGTCACAAGAATATAATGTGTGGTTAAAATCTCTTTTAGTTGATTTGTATAAGTTTGAATGTCAAAAGCTGGAAAAGTTGCCATACAACAAAAGAGGTGATGTGAAAACCACAAAGAAAACATAAATACTAGTGTGGAGACTGGGTGAGGATATGTCATGTTCCAGCAACACAGAAGCCACTTGGAAAAAAGATTTCCTCTTTTGCCTCCAGAGGTGAGAAATAGCTCCAGTAGTCAGTCAAGTCACTAATAGTCTCCAAATCGATATGGCTTGGAATAAACCTTATCATCATGTAAATAGGTGTCACTTGGTTGAGAATGAAATAGCATTCTTTACTTTCCGAGTTATCAAGTGGTCTTGTACGGTACAAAATATGCATTACATTGTATGATTACTATGGGATCATCAAACAGTTAGGACAGTCACTGATTGTAAGATCACTGACTAAAAAGAAGTAGCAATTTATGCTTTCCAAGCTATCAAGTGATGTTCACCATACAATGTATGCACTACATTATGTGATACCCACTTGATTATAGTAAAATTACAACATCTAGAGCTAGTAAACGTAATACATAGTGCACCACCAGTTTGTACAACTGGAGATGATAGCTAGGAGTTTAAAAATTCAGTTGAAAAACCATTGCAACAATCGATTTCTGAACTATAGGACACTGTTATAAGATATAGTTTATGCATTAATTGTATAATTACCACTTGAATTTCTGAAGTAAAGACAGTTTATTGATCACAAGATAAACGGGAGTAAAATACTTTGTGGCCCTTACTTTCAAAACTATACAGCAGAGTTCTATGATGAGAGATATACTTAGGATATCGGGTGACAGCTGCACAATGAACACAGTTAAAATGGCTGGTGTTAATAGATGTAACGTGTAATACTTAGACTATCAACAGTTTGTAGTCCCAGTCAGATTTGGACCCACCCCCTGAACTCAAGCCCTCACAAAGTGGAATGACAAGGAGGATGTCATGGCAATGGAAGCCCCTCCTAAGGGGTCATATCAGAGGATGTTAGGTTACAACCTGATGAAAACATAAGATGTATGTCTACCTCTAATGGAACCACATCCTAAAGACAAGGAAAACTTTCCCAGAGTTGTGGTCACCTCGAGAGCAGGGACAAGACTTATGCCAATTCTTAGCTATCACCACCATCAATGATGGCAGAGAGTCCAACAATCCCTACAACTACCAGCAGGACCCTCATCATCAGAAACCAAATAGCTGTGAAGGCCTCACCTCCTGCAACACCATCACCACTACCAATGGTAAGGGGGGATCTACCTCGAAGACAAGCCAAATACATTGCAAGGCTCACCAAACCACATTTGAGGCAAAGCATGTGACCCCAGCACCAGTATTGACTGAGCAAGTGATACAAAAATTACCTTGATAACAGCAAAGGATCAACCTGTTAATAAACCCACCAACCAACATCATGAGTGTTGTAGATTAAATAACTGAATCAGTATTGTCAAGAAATGGCTACCCAAATGGACAGAAGCCTGTGACATGAGTAACTGGGAAGACTGAGCACTCAATCCAGGTTACAAGAATAGACCTTCCAGTTGCAAATGAAACTGGTTCAAACCAAGCAGGTTTTGGCTCAGACTCAAGAAATACTTAAGAACACATGGTAACCAGTTGCCAACCCAACACCACTTTAGAGGATCTGCTGTTGGGGCTAAAATGAGACTACGAGAAATCAAACCTCACTGTTGCTGTTGAGGTAAGTATAAATTTTGTATATTTTTAGTGTGTACATTTATTATATTTTTAACTTAAGGGAGGATTTGTGAATATTGTATGTGTTCTTTACATTGTTGAAAAAAGCAACAACAACAACACACAATACTTCAGCTACTAATTCATTAGATTTACTGTCCAGTGGAAGGTTCTTTTCAGCAATAAATCAGTCTGTGGTATATAATTTGGTTCATAAGTCATACAATAATACCCAACTAATTCGATAGATTTAACACAATGAAAGAGGTTATTTTCTATAATAAGTTAGTTGTGTATAATTTGGTTTATAAATCATATAATAATACCATACTAATTCAACAGATTAACTGTTCAGTGGAAGAGATTCTTTTCTGCAATAAATCAGTTAGTTGGACATAGTTTGGTTTTTATTTATATAATAAGAAAACCCAACTAATTCAATAGTTTTAAAAACCAGTGGAAACATTTCTTCTTGGAAATAAACTAGTTGTGTATAATTTGGTTTATGTATCATATATTATTCAATAATTCAAGGAATGACTTGTAAACATGAAAATTCCTTACAGTTTCAACTTCAGTTTGCTTAGTAAATGTTTTTTTTTTTCCCTCAAAACATGGCTCATTGTATCATTTATTTATTATATAATAAAGAAATGGGATGCTGTTAATATCAAAGCTATGCTTTTGTGGCTTATGAAAATTACTAGTTATCCCTGCATTCTTAATCTATCTCCTTGCCATGCAGATGACAGCACCAAACACATAGGCCACCTACACAGACTGATGCAGAAACACATAAGCCTTAAAATACATCTCCTAATAATCCCTGAAAAGTTGGTGATTTTTTATCTCCCAAATAGTGTTATTAAAGTCCTCATCTCTTTTTTTTGCATTGTTATATTCAACATACATCAGAAATGGTAACCTCTCTCTGGCTCACCTTTTTTGGCCTGGATATAAGCTCTTGGATAACAATATTCAGCAAATAATGAATACAGGAACAGACATGCATCAGAATCAGTAATGTAGAATATTTCTGCCATATCTTCATGTTTGGCCAGTACACAACTCTTGGATGACCATATTCAGCATGTCTTGAACACTGGAACAGACATGTTTGGCATACACATTAACTCTTGGATGACAGTACT